AGTGAAAGAGAAAAAAAGTCAAGAGTAAAAAAAAAAATTTATATAAAAATTTTTAATTTATTGCTTCATCATTAGTTACTTGCGGGAATTGTGGTAGAGAACGATACTTACGATTGGCTATTCAACCTCTTGATCATCACCACAGTCCTTAGGATCATCCTTTGTTATCACCCTTAACGGCATCACCCGTCATTGCTTCATCCATTATCATCACTTATTAATATCAAACGTAGCCCTCTACTGTACCATATCGCCCTACTAGTTCCCTACACTTATAAAAGACCTTCGTTGCCTCCAAACTTATCTTTATCTCCCCGTACACCGTTGGAGTTAAATTGGCACTTATTCCATAGTATTTTACTAAACTCTCCCATCAACGGTTACACTATTGAGAACTTTGTCGATCCTAATAATACAAATTATTCTGTGAATTCTCGGGATTTTCGGAATTAGAAATTGGAATTTTCAGAATTCGTACTACATCGGACCGCAGTAATTTGGGGTAATTTACCTAAATATGGAATAACCTACACGAATTCGGATATTCTATATTTCGAATATCGATATTACTGCATTATATAACGAAGTACAGATTCTATGTTAAGTGACCAAATTTGAAAAAACATTTTGTTCACAATCAAAAATCAATTTCAATTTTATTAATAACGAATTTTAATTAATTATATAATGTATAATAAAGAAAGCTTGCTAAATATCAATAGTAGTCGATCTACAGAATGGACTGTATACTTTACTCAAAATCAAACTAGACCAAGTTTGCTAAACATTTATAATGAGATTAATACTTTACAACAATATAATGCCAAACCAGTTAAAAGGAATAAGCATTCAATTTCGCTTGCTTCTGGGTGTAAAAGAAAATGCAAAACATGTAATTTTTATAAAATTCACTACGACAAGAATTTAAATCAATGTAAAGATTGCTATCGGGCCTCATTACGTGTTTTAAGTGGCAATAAATTAATAGATGATTTTATTGAATTAACGCAAACGTTTAGAAACTGTACAAATAGGAAAAAATTAGAATTTATTCCATATAACCAATTTTCCAATATTGAATATCTTGCTAAAGGAGGATTTAGCGTAATAT